GTTTTAGGTTGGACCTGAGGAACAATTTCTTCCCTGCAAGGGTTGTCCAGGGCTGTGCCAGGCTGCCCAGGGCAGTGGCGGAGTCCCCACCCCTGGAGGGGTTCCCAAGCCCTGGAGATGCAGTGTGAGAGACACGGGGCAGTGGGGACCTGGCAGGGCTGGGCCAACAGTTGGACTCCATGATCTGAAAAGTCTTTTCCAACCAAAACAATTGTGATTCTATGATTTCCCTCCCATACCCATCACAGGTCTTGGGCACTTACTCTCCCATCACCCCCCCACCAGTAGCTCACACTGAGACAAGGTTTTTTGAGGAGCCCCAGGACCCTGGGCCGCAGTCAGACAACCAAACAGAAATGCAGCAAAACCTGGATCTACAAAATGACTGAATTAATTAAAAAAAAAATAGCAGGGGAGATTTCTGAGTCTTTGAAAACCCATTGCGAGGAGTCAGGGGCTGCCTCCGGGAAGGCAACGCAACCCCTGGGCAGAGGCCGAGACACAGTGATGGTGAGGATGTCCCAGGCTGTCCCAGGCTGTCCCAGCCCCAGCCCAGCAGCCAGGTTCTCGGGGGTTTCACAGCAGCTGCCCAGCTGCCCCTCTCCTGCATGGCAGGAGGGAGGTGCCCAGCTCACAGGGCAGCGATGGCCTTGGCAGCGACTCGGCGGCCCAGGGGCAGGCTGAGGTCTGTGATGGCCAGCACGATTTTGGGACTGGACATGGTGGACACTTTCACCAGCTCCGAAACCTGCCCCGAGAGAGGAGAAACGTGGTTGACTCCCAGCAGTGCTGGAGCCCCAAGAGCTGGGCAGCAGGACCCCCCTGATGTCCTGGGACCCCCCTGTCCCATGGGGCCAGCAGGGAGAAGAACATCACAGCCGTGGGACTCACCATGGTGAAGGGCATGAACTGGAGGATGCTGCCACGGCTGCCCTGCTCCAGGCACTCCACACACTCCTCCATGAACCACTGGACAAACTGGGTGTGGGTGCCGGCCGTCTTGGCCCCCAGGATGGAGGAGATGAGCAGGAAGAGGTTTGCTGTGGGAAGAAGAAAACACCAAAAACCAAGTGGGTTCAGGGAGGCTGGGGGTGGCCCAAGCTTCCCACCCAGTGTCTCAGCTGAGCCCAGGGCCAGGCCCTGCCGTGGGTCCCCCCACTGTTACCTAGCACCCTGTTCAGCGGGTCCCGCATGCTGACGGTGTGGAGCTGGGAGGCAGAGAGGGAGCTGCTCATGGAGCGATCTGTGGGGAAGGAGACCACACGTCAGGCTGGGGGGAGGCTGCGACAGCTCTTGGTCACCTTGCCCGTGCCAACGTGCCCATCCTGGCCAGCTCCAGCCATCCGAGGTCACCCAGCCCTTGGGCTTCTGGAAGGGCTTTGCCATGAGCTACCCCATGGAGCCAGAGAGGTTTGGACCGTGGTCCTTGGCACCCTCTGTACCCAGACTAGCAGAGTCCTTGCTGCTGGGGCACACCAGGGACACGCCTCAGGCTCCAGGTCACCCCTCTGCCCAGGCCCATGCGTGCCCGGGGAGGGCTCCACACAGCACCACTGCTGCTCACAGGGTGGGACACTTGGCTCTTCCACGAGCCACATTCACTCTGAGTCTGACCAAGTTTGGTGACAGCTCCCAGCACACGTGGGGCCATCAGGCAGCGGCTCATCCCTGCTGCTGGGCGAGGGCACGGGAGGTGTCACAGTGTCACGGGCAGGACGAGGGGAGGTGACACATGCTGCACATCCCCAGCACGCTGCTGGAGCCAGACAGATGTTCAACAGCTGCACGGCAGCACTCGAATCTCACTCCCAGAGTACAATTTAGCTCCCAGAGCTGAGGCACGTCCAACGGACTAGCAGCAAATCCTGGGGCAGAGCAGGGGGATTTCTCTGACCCAGGCTGTGGAGCGCTGCAGGGTGCTCGTGAGGGAGAGGAACTGGGTGGTGGAACTCTGCTCCAGCAGGCTGGGAATCTCCTGGGGAGGCTCCTGGGCAGGCCCCACAGCACGCAGCCCCGGTCAGCAGGACCCACCTTGTGCTGCTCACCCGAAAAAGAAACACCTCCCACACTTTTCTCATGGAATCACATGAGCTACGTGGCCGCTGCCGGAAGCAGCGTTTCCACATCGCTGCAGCAAACAGCCCAAAAAAGTCCTGAATGTCACTGGAAAGAGATGGAACTGCCTCAAAAGTTGAAGAAAGATAGCGAAACAAAGGGAAACCCCCATATTTCAACAGTAATGAAACCAACAAAAACCACAGGTTGATGGATGAGCTGAAAACTGAAGAGTGACTTAGGATAAGGGCCATCAGAAGGAACAATGACCAAGGAACATCCTGACTCACTGCTCAGGAGTCCAGATGACCCATGTGGGAGCTGTGACGGACCCTGCCGTGGCCCCAGGGCTTGGACCCCCCCCCTCCATGTCCTGCCGGAGCTGTTGCAACCCCCAGCACCACACTGCACTGTGGGGACACGGACATGACTGCAGGGGCTCGTCAGCCCCACTCCCTGCCTCGTTAACAAGAGAGGAATTTTAGGATTTAGCCATCAGGAATTCCAGGCAGCCATCAGCCTGCCCCCCTCACCACAGCACAGCAGCACTGCAGTCCCACCCAGGCTGTCTGGGGGTGACAAGGCTCCAATGAAACCCCCCGGAGCCCCTCGTGCGTGAGGCACTGGGCTGGGTGGCAGCGTCACCGAGGGGAGGTGAAACCTCATCCTCTTTCCTAAGTTGTTCCAATAGGAGAAATAAAAACTTTGACCCTTTCTAAGTTCAAAAGCTCCAGGGGAACTCAGCAAAATGCATTCGAGGTCTTCACAGGGAAGGAGAAGGGAAGGAGAAGGGAAGGAGAAGGGAAGGAGAAGGGAAGGAGAAGGGAAGGAGAAGGGAAGGAGAAGGGAAGGAGAAGGGAAGGAGAAGGGAAGGAGAAGGGAAGGGGGAGGGCAGGGGAAGGGAAGGAGAAGGGAAGGAGAAGGGAAGGAGAAGGGAAAGGGGGTTTGTGCCAATGTGTGCTTTGCCCCCCAAAGCAAGCAGCGAGGCGGACGGTGCCTTCCCCAGGGGCTGCCCCCCCTGCCCACACTCACTGGGGCTGGAGAGGATGTTGGCGTCCTCCTCGTTGGAGCTCAGCAGGCGCATGAGCTTGGAGGGCTGCGTGTCGTCCAGTGGGAACAGGCTGGTGTAATCCTGGGGGACAGAGGGGGGTCAGTCCCTCCAGTCCCACTCAGAGCTGTGACCCACCCTGGGCTCTGCAGAGCCCCATGGCCCAGGACTAAGATCCCTGTTGATCCACAGCATCTCAGCCTTGGCCAACCACATACGGACCATCTGATTACATCCCCATTCCCCAGAAAAGAGATTATCCCATATTTTAGGGTCAAAATCTCTCAGACAGCCCAGAGGCCCCAGGTAGGGAGCCTGGTCTCCTCCTGCCACCACCTCTCCCACCACCACTGTGCAGAGAGCCTCCAAGCAGACCCTGCTCCACACCACACACACCTCAATGTCCTCCCGGTGCCTCTTCTTCTGCCTGGCAGAGGCCTGGCTCTTGTTGTGGGAGGAGTAGGAGCTCAGGGCACACCAGACAGCGAGCCTGGGGACAGAATGGGGACACTGCCATGTCCTGCCAGCCCA